TTACTTCTATATATAGAATAGATTTTGCATAAATCTCAAAAAGTCAAAATACCTCAAAAATTCAAAATCAATTTTGGGAACATGTATAGTATAATTATTCAGTATATTTTATTAGTTATAATTAGTATTTATTGATATAATACAAATTATGTAAATCAATAATATAGATTATAGTGACCCAGTTACTGGTCAATTTACTGATCAATTTAGTGGCCAACTGATTAACCAACTTAGTGACCAACTGATTGACACATTTACTAATCAAAATTTTGACCAACTTACTGATCAAATCAAATATTATAAAAAAGGTAAGTTTTCTCTTCACCCCAAGTTAGATTCAATTAGTTTTGAATTAGATTCAAATAGTTTTAAATAATAAAATTTAGAAAGTAATCTCAATTGTAATTAATTTTTTAATTGAATTAATATTTTATAATCCTAAAGTAACTGGATTATTGATTTTCTTCATAATAAACTTATATCTTTTATACTAATTTATATTCTTTGAATATAAATTTTGATCCATAAAATTCTGTTATTATTTAATAAACCATTGATAAACATATTTAACTCTTGTTTTAATTTTTTAAATTGACTTTTAAAATTTACTGTTAATCAATAATTTAAATCTTGTAATCATAAATTCTTATGTCCTTTAATTAGTTTTAGTATTTAACTTAAAATATTTCTTTTATTCTTCTTCTATTATTTCCTTTAATTTGTAGACTAAATAACTGTTTATAAGTTGTTAGTTGTAAATTGCCTTTTGAAAAATAAAATTAATTCAAAAGATCAATTAGTAACAATTTGATACCTTTTAGCAGAAACAAATCAAAATTTTTATAATTGTCCTATTTCTTATTTTGAATATAATATTTTATAATTTATTCTTTTTTAGTTAATTACCTTTTAATACAAAAGCCTTAATTAGTTAAATATAATTTTAAATAATTATCTTCTTACCTTTTTAGTATTAATAATTCATTCTTATGATTTACACTGATCAAATTAAAGAGCTTAACAAAACTATTGAAAAAATAGCTAAACTTTATTGACAAAAGATAAGAGCCATAGTTAATCAAATACCTAAAACTGAAGACCTGTATGGAAATTAGATGACCTTGAAGAATTATGTAAAATCAAAAAACAATTGAACTTACTCTTCCAAATTCAAGATAATTATTATAAAATCATGGACAATTTAAAACTTTTAAAAGATATCTTTTATTTATTAAATTAATCTTTTCAATAATAAAATAATCTATAGTTTTGAATTACCAATTACCAACTGAATCCCTTATCACGTACGTTATCAAAAAGTTACAATAGGTACCTTCGAATACTCCTGTTGATTTCTTACAAACTGTTTATATCCTACAATCACTTTTCATAGTGATGTCACCTCAAGATTCTTCATTATTATCTTCTAAGGATAAAAAGATCCAGTCTAATAACTCTCCAATTATTCCAGTAACTAGCTCACCTGTAAATTCTACTTTGTCTAGAAAAATAAGAAAAACTACTATTTCTAAGTTACCAGTACAAATGTCACAAAATATTAAACAAAAGTAAAAATTAAGTACCTCTAATTAAAACATAAGTGAAAGTTTCTCATCTGCAGTTAGCACCCATCTGCTACCATTTTCTGCCACTATAAAGTTATTTGAAAAAAAGTGCAAGTTTAAAATCACTACCACTAGCTCTTTTACTTCAAGTATCCTTAAATTACCTGTTGAATTAATCTTACTATACTCTTCCCCTTTGTATTTTCCTTTTAGTTAAATAAGTACAGTTCTAACTAAAGATGGTATTCTCAATTATTTTTTTAAATCTTCAATATTACAAATTTTTTAGATAGAATTGTAATAAGAATCTATATATGTCTTCAATTGTTTCACAATTCTGTAATTCTACAATTGTTCTTTAATTCCTCAATTATTCTGCAATCTCTCAATTGTTCTATAATTTCTTAATTATTTTACAATTTCTTAATTATTTTACAAGTTAGTATAACTTGATAATTAAAAAATTTTTTTTAAAAAAAAAATTTATACTTACCTTTTTTCTTACTTTTATCTTTCTTCTTTATCAGAAAATTTTAAAAGGTAAAAATTTCCAGAAATTTTTTAGTTCAATTATTTTCAAAAGTTTTATAAACTTTCAAAATTTTCTGAAAAAAAAATTTATAATATTTTAAAAATTTTTACAAATATTTTAGAAATTTTGTAAAAAATTTACAATATTCTGAAAATTTTACAAAAAAATTCACAATATTTCAAAAATTTTTCATATAGAAAATTATTATATTTTTAATTTTTTTGAAAAATTTTGATAAGTTACAATTATATATAAATAAATTTTTTCATATTTATAATTTATTATTATTTTATCATATTTATAATTATTATTATTTTATTTATTAATTTTAATAT